CAATAGCCCAAACATCATAAAATTTTTTCTATCTATAATGCCATCCTTAGGACTTATTAGAAATCAGAGGTTTTAAGTTCAACTTCCCTAAAAGAAACAGCATTCCTTTCTATAAAGCATGGAGCTTCTGCAAAAGAAGAGAAGGGAAAGCCAGGAACTCACTTGCATATGGGACTGGGCGTAGGGGGTGGGTAGTGAAATCACTTACCCGACAGCAAAGGCTTAATCTGTTTGATCCTTGCTGCCATGGCTGGTGTGATTTTGTATTTCCCTTTGGAGTCTGATGTATTAGGCTCATCGGTTTCCATAGGTGTCAGGGTGTCTCCACCCAGTCCAATGCCTTCCAAAAGACCCTGGGTGGAAGCCTCAATGATTCCTGTTGACCCTTCTGTTTCTCCTTCTAAGGATGCAAAAGAGAAGAATTGAGAGACTGGCATAAATAAAGGTTGTTGCCACATTAGGCCAGTCTTACTGGTTGCTTTGCAAGAAGCTGAAATTAGAGTTAACCCTCGGAGGATAGGATGACTGATCTGGTGGGGATACTCAGTTTGGCTCTAAATTTCTTGATAACAAAAAGTCTAACTGAAAACATATTTAGACTCTTTTTAGGGTTACCTGTTCTCTTGGCTCCCTGGGCTATCTTTTCCTCTCTTGGAATCAGCTTCTGCATGTCCACTTGACCAAAATCACACTCTGAGGGGAGGCTGCAAATGCATCAGCAATAGACAAAAAGTATGTTTCCTTGAACACCACCTAGACAATGTTATCTCTTTTAACTGAGTCACCAATCTTTATTTTTTTCAGAGTCACCAACCTTGCCTACTATATCCACTCAAACAAAAAATATAGCTCTCCCATGCCTCAAATCACTAAATGGATTAAATCAGTACTAGAGCGGAAGGGGATATATTATCTTTTCTATTTTCATTGCTTTTACCTGTTAGGGGTACACAGTGAAAGTAAGACTGTATTTTCCCAGACCAGGGAATAGTATAACTGGCTCAGCTTACTCAGGACACTGAGACCCAGCTGGGAGCCCCACTGATTCACTGAGATGGCACGGATTTCACTCTGTGAAGAAAGAAAACGGTGATAATTCCCCCTGAGTAGAAGAGTTTAGAGTAACTCTTATTACATTAGCTCTAGACTATATCATTCCCCTGAAAACAAGACTTCCTCATTCTAGGTGTGAACTCTGCAAATAAATGCTATCTACTACTGCTTTGCACTTTGTTACAAGAAGAGAGCTCTTAGACGTCCCCATAGGGACACAGTATTCTTCTGGACTAATAGCAACTGATTATACCTCTTAATATTCCCAGCGCCCCCTCAATTCTTCAGGACTTTCTTGCTACTGAATTTGTGAGGCTTTGAAACAGAAAATACACTGAGAAAGTGTTTCTAACTCAAAGCAATATTCAATGATTTCTTGAATTTCTTAAAATCCCTTAAAGGAGAAGTGGTATCCTCAACCAAAGATAATACTTTTATATAAACTCAATTTTCCTTGTAATTATTTAAGAGATACATACCTCTTATTCCACTAGAGAAGGCTTTTGGGGGTGAAAATTTACTCATGGGTTCAGGAGATTAGTCCCTACAGTTACTCTTACCTGGCCCACCCTGCAAGTATGAACAAACATCATGATATATGCATGAGCAGCTGTGAGTGCATGTATGAGGGGGGTGGCCTGGGCAGAAAGGGTGGCATCTGCAACACTGCTGGAACAAGCAAGCTCTCGAAGCAGCACTGATCCCCCAGGGGACTCAATTGGCCGATGCAGCAAATCCAAGGAGGAGAGGACAGAATCCAATTGGAGGAGTCCCTCTTGAAGGACTTTTGGTTCATGTGACAGAGTCTGCAATAAATCAAATGTTTTCAGGGTCTGTTTTCCAGGGTAATTTTTGCCTTCTACAGAAAAAATAACACTGCTTCTTTCCTCACTTCAGTGAGGAGCATAAACTTCACATGTCACACTGGAGTAATATTACAAGGTCTACTTGGTAATGGAATAACTTAATTAGAATTTATTTAACTAATTTAAGCAAATTCACATTGGATATAATCTGAAATAAGTGGCCCATCACAACGTTCTCTCTCGCTGTCTCCACAACCACAGAGACCATTCCAAGTTTATTTCTTTAATTCATTCTTCTCTTCCAGGAGAGGATACAACTGTTTGTTCTTAATGTATGAGAATTAAGGTCAGAAGGACAGCAGCTTTAGATGGCTAATTACAAGCAATTTGTAAAACTGGTAACTGATATTAAGCAGATTTCTCTCTATTGTGCTTATACTGATCTGTATAAGTCAACATGGAAGAATCAATCAATCAAGAAAGACAAATCTCACTTTTCATTTTATTTTAAAATATCCAATTATACTTTCTTTTGATTTCAGCAATAGTCTGGGATGTCTCTGGGGCTTCTTTTCTAATATAGGTGATCAAAATGAGAAACTAGATTATTGCCCTACTTCTCACCAGTATAGATTTGCAGACACCTGCCACAGCCTGGCAGGCAGCTGATGTTGGAAAGTCGATAGGTAGATTGGGGAGGCCCAAAATGGTGACCAGGGGCAGTAGCCCCTTTTGGCTCACAAATTCCTGGCAATGGTCATCTGTTGTGTTGTTGCTTAGGATGGACTCCACAAATTTCATCTAGGAAAGAAAAAGTCAGACTAGAGTTGGCACAACTTACTTGCAACATTAAAGGAAGGCTTAGCTAAGGCCAAGCAAATGAAAGGGAAAGGATAAAAGCTGTCCTTTTTAAGGAGGCCAAACACAAGAAGTTCAGCAGTTTTAAACTGTCTGTGGTATCTTATCAAAACAATGACTCGATAGAGCCTCCATCATTTCTTCAAGTAGTCATCATTTGTGCTATTCTACAACCCTTTTCCTCAGCGACACTTAAATATACTTTTTTCATAGGCTTTTCAGAACTTTGAAGAAAGCCTATTGATAGCCTTATCAATGGCCGCATGAAAAAATGCTCTAAAAACTCATTAATAATTAGACAAATGAAAATTAAAACCTTATACCTATTAGATTAGCTAGGATGACAAAAAAAATGACAAATGCTTAAAGATAAACTATTAGGAGAGGGAATCCACTTAATTAATCTTAATTCCCTGCTGAGAGATGTATGAATCAGTCCGACCATTCTGTAAAACAGCTCGGAACTGTGCCCAAAAAACTATTAATCTGCATATTCCCTTTGATCTACCAATACTAATATTAAGTCTATAATCTAAAGAGATCAAAAAAGGAGAAAAGGAACCTTTTTATAAAAAAAATCTACTGCAGCTCTTTTTAAAGTTGCAAAGAAGTATAAAACAAGGGGATGGCCACGATTTGGGGGATGGCTAAGTAAATAGCAAAGAACATACAACTGTAAATTATCTGAGCTTGGGGACCTAATTAACTTACTGGTTTTATGTGTATCAAAGAAATCTGACCTGCCTCTCATTTTATTTGCAAATGTCTAGAGCCCTAGCCAGGAGATCTGATACATCAAAAAAGAATTTTAGCCCCTCATTAGAAATTTGCTCCCATGAAGCTAGAACAATGGCATATGGCTATTTCTCTTTTTGCTATCTACCACAAAACATAAATATTTCTCTTTTGTTTGGTTGGCCAACCCATCCAAGGAGTAAAATTCATCAATAGTGCTTACCACAAAAAAAAGCTTACCACATTTAGGATGTAATCCATTAATGGAATAGGGTTCCTTTCTTCAGTTCCAGAAACCCTGTTGAGGAAGTAAGAGCAAAAAATGTAGTTAGAGAGATGGCATGGGGCAAGACAGGGAAGTTACCTTTATCTTTTATCCTTTTCATATCCGTAGACTAGCTTGGATGAGAACAGAGAGACAACTTTCCTAAAGCTGGTCTTAAAGGAACCATTAAAAAAGAAGGAAACCATTTTTTTGAAGAGTAAAATACCTGCACACTTAACTTACAATGGTTTCACCTTCACGTTTAAAAGGCTGACAAAGGAAAATTCTCTTTCCTAAAATTCCGATTCGTCTGAAAATGCAATGGAACTGAATTATCAAGAGTATATCATTAGGTTTTCAAATTCACTCTTTTCACCTCTCCTGGGGTAAAAACGTGGAACCCAAAGGTTTATATTTCTTTCCCCCTGTAATTAATTTATTTCTTTTCATCATTCCCCTAACAGAGTCCGAGTACATCAGTTTGCCTTCCTTTAATTGTCTAAGACACACAAGGCTTAAACTGTGGGGAGCTGCTTTGTAAATTTTAGTGGAATTTCCAGTGCTATGGATGTGAATTATATTTTTTAAATAATAATAATTTTTTTTTAATCTCATTGTATTCTTCTGCTGAGCCTCCATGTAGTTTGGGAATATTTAGAGTGGTCAACAACAGCTAGGTTTCTTGGTAAAATTCACTGTTGAAGTAGGGGTACATAAATGCACCCTAACCCTAAAGTCTGGGTGGAGTGGTTAGTCTGATAAATGAATACGATATACTGTGAACAAAAATTTTTTAGGGGCAATAGAGATCAGGAAGCACGAATGAATGCTTAAAGAGTTTAATGTAAAAAGTAGAAAATAGCAACAGTATCCATTGGGTCTTAAATTCCCAATTTAAGGACAATTACAACAAATCAACATAAAGTAGGTTATTAAAGGCAAATGTAAAATTATCTTTTTATCTTTAAAAACTTTGCATTGAAGGCACAGGATGTGTACCCATTTCAATGAATCCTTCTCTTACTCCACTTAACTGTAAAGACTTTATACTATACTACTAACCCTATACTACAGAGCCATCCAAGTAAGTCTTTATATCCAGATTTGATAACATCGGTACAAGTCCTAAGGAAAAGAGCCAAAGTTCCCCTGATGTATGGCTGAAAGGCATGTTCACATTCACTCTGAAAATGGTGGGTAGTCAAATACATCAAGGGGAACTTTGGCTCTTTTCCTTAGGACTTGTACCAATGTTATCAAATCTGGATATAAAGACTTACTTGGATGGCTCTGTAGTATAGGGTTAGTAGTATAGTATAAAGTCTTTACAGTTAAGTGGAGTAAGAGAAGGATTCATTGAAATGGGTACACATCCTGTGCCTTCAATGCAAAGTTTTTTAAAGATAAAAAGATAATTTTACATTTGCCTTTAATAACCTACTTTATGTTAATTTGTTGTAATTGTCCTTAAATTGGGAATTTAAGACCCAATGGATACTGTTGCTATTTTCTACTTTTT